TGGCTCTTTTGCTTCAGCACCTGCATCAGCACATTTGCCCTTTTAGCAGCCAACCACTTCTAATTCAAGAGCAAAATCACCCAAGACAGTAAATTATGAATGATGTCAGTTCCTTGGTGGAGAGAGAAATAAACATAAGAACAAGTGAAATAAGAAATTCAGGGATCATTTATAGGGTTTGGTATGGGGCTCCCTACAGGAGCTGCCCCAGTCACTGCAGGCAGATCAATCTGAGATGTTATTTACTAAGATTGCACTAATTTTTTTCATTGCCTTATCAGTTAGTTTAAAACCAATGGGATTGTATATATGATTGCAAACTGCTCCTGAGATAGCAGTTCCCTTGCAGTTGGGTGCAGGGAGCCTCTGTTCTCCTCGAAGTAATGTTCCTTGCCAAGCCCACTGCCCAGCATCTCATCCAATTATTTATTAATGGTGCTTTCCAAGTGTTGAAAGTGTTTCCGTCGGCTCTGTAATATGGTGCCCTCTTGTGACCAGTCCAAAACCAGTAATCACACACCAGTAACCAAAGTGTGTAATACGTTGGTTTTCATGTCTTACCTACATTGATTTTCAAAAACCTGATGTCTGGGTGATGGCCATGGCTCTGCCAAACCCCTTTTACAGTGAGACTTCAGCGCAGTCATACCTCACCAGACACATCTGAAAGGATGGAGTAGTGTAAAAGGGATCGTGAAATATTGCACACAAAGATAATTAAACCTTTATCCAGATCTGTATGCACAGCAAATATGCTTGTTAATAATCAAAGATGTCATTCAGTCTGTCCTGAAATTCCAGTGTTCTGCCCACGATAATAATAATGAAAAGGAAAAAACCCTACTACCCTACTTTTTCTTTCTCTTCATCGTGTACACTAACAAGTGTAATTTGGTTAGAAGCAAAGAGGAGGAGTCAAGGAAATGCACAGAGGAATTAAGAAAGCAAGCTACGGGGTCACAATGAAAATTTATTAATGGATTCGTTTTCTTCTTAGTGTCAAATGGATTATTACATTTATGTGTAACACTTTGGGTTCTGTGCTTGCCTGTGTGAAGCCAAACTAAATGAGGCAGATTAGGTCCGGTGCATTTGGCAGGGAAGAGGGAGGTCGCTGACCAATGCTGCTCTGGCCTGGGGGACAACCAGAGAGTGCTTGGTGTGAGCGTACCTGCACGGAGCAGGCAAGGTGGGGATGACCAAGCAAGAATGGTACCTTTGGCTCTCATATGAGCTAGCAACTACAGTGGCAGAAGCCCTAGGGGTTTTGTACTCCCAGTAAAATCTGTGCCACTGTGTATTTGGGGCTGCACCGCCCATGCAGGTCACACTGCGGAGCTTGTCTGCGCCTTGTTTTGCTGTTCAGATGCATGGTGAGACCATAAAAAATATGAGGGGTGTGAATAAAGGCATCAGAGACCATTGCCTGGGAAATTAGTTGTTTGGGGTTAAATTGCATTTGGCCTGTGCTGAATGTGGGAAATTTCTGGCAGGGAATCAAAGGGACAAATATAATCTAGTATCTCCACCTATCTGGACACGGGTAACCTAGGGGTCATCAACACTTTTCCTGCTATAACATCTAGGGTTTGAAGAGCACATGGCAGGCATAAGCACATCTGAACATGAAAAGTAGATGGTAGAGAATTTTTGAGGAAGATTTCTCGGCTCCGGAATATGCCAAAGTCAGCTCAGTGTGGTGCAATGTCCCCATGCTGCTGTCAGTCATTACAGAGATAAACTGAGGGCAGCAAGCAACAAGATGTACAATTTCACTGTTGTTGTTAGGATTTTGCAGCAGTTTTGTAATTGGGATGTTTTGCCCTGTAAGGAGTCAAAATATACTCCAAAGGATTTTGTATTCATTTTTTTCCTGATTCTAGTGTCTCTCCCTCCCTCCCTCCATGTATTATAATAGCAGGTAGAAGCAGGGAAGAGGAGTTATTTGAAGTTGTTTCTCACACGGACTTCAGCATTTCATGCCTGTGCCAGTAAGCCATGATCTGAGCCTACAGAGTTCCCAGATAGGGGCCCTTTGAAGCAGAGTTCAGTCTCGCAAATGAGAAGCAGCAGCAGAATTGTCCCCAGTTTCAAATTTGGGACTGAAATTTCAAAGGTGTGCTCTGCCTGGATTTCAGGCTTGGTGTTGAGGTCTTCTCTCAATGAGACTGAATAAGTTTTTTTTTTCAATTTGGGTCTTGAAAGATATGGGATTAGACAAAAAATAGAAACAGACTGGCATTACTCATTTTTACAGTTTTAAGTTTTCCCAGAATTCAGCCTTCTTCAAGATTTTGTCAAATTAATTTACAAGCCTGCTAGAGATGCACATTGATATGGGAATTTTCCTGAGCTATAATTGTGTTTTGTTTTACTGGTACTACTGTAAAAGTGCCATATTGGTGCACCAAGTGCAACTGCATTGAGGTGATGAGCAATTAAAACCACTTATTGCATAATAAAGCACATTCTATGATGTTGCACTTACTTAATGTACCAATGCAATGTGTTACACAGCATTTAGCTAAATTACGGTAAATCACCTATTTAAAGAAGTTTTCCTTTCAGCCTCTCATCTGAAAAAAAAAAAAATGCTGGAAACAGTAAAAGGATAATGACCCATAATGCCAGAAAGATAAAAATGGGATTTCAGTTGTCTCCTGGAATTAAAGGCTGTAGCAATGTTGTTAAAGGCAAGCTGTTCTCCGTCCCCTGTTGCTCCCTTGCATCAGCATCATGAAGTGTAACAGACTCCTTACTTATTTCTGCATTGCAGAGTATCAAGGCTGAAGAGAAAGGAGTTGCTGGTGCGGGCAGGTGCATTGAAGACAAAAGGCAGGGTGGTGACAGGGGGCTGTGATGAGTAATGAAGTGCCAAGGTCTACAGGGACTGTCCTAAGGACCAGCTCTCACTGAGGGTGGGGTGAAGCTGTGGATATGGAAATGGGGTTTCTTTGCTCTTCACCAGTCATGATCCTTGCCTCCCACTCTCTCTGTTATCCCAGAGGCAGACTACTGCAGCACTAGGGGACAGGGGACAGGAAGCCTTCCCTTCATTTTCTCGCTGGGAAGCAGCTCAGTATCAAAACAAGCTTGGCTTCTGCTTTAGAGAGGGAATTTCAGATTCAGATACATGCTATAAATATCAAATAGATGCACTGCAGTATGACTTGAAAGAACAACAGATCATAGTATTAAATGCATCATCACAATGGTGGTCTTTTCCACCTGAATTTGGGATTACACCTGTCTGGACACTTGAAAAGGCTTCCATCGGGGACTAGTTGTGCTTTTATTTTGCGTTATGTTCTACGTGGTTACGTTTTACAGCAGTTAGTGAGCATGCATGGTCCTAGCATTTCTTGAACATCTATTTCCTGTGCTTTTCTGAGGAGTAAACCATACCTGCCCAAGGGAGTGCAGGTCCTGGGAGGATCGTTTTCATAGTCATGCAAAGGTATGTAACTCCAGTTAGGCAGATGTTGTCCTCAGTGGGTCAGTAATCCCGCAGGCCGACTAATTAAGATACAGTTTCCCCTTCTATGAAAGCAAAGTAAAATAAGTATTTCTCTAAGCCTGTATGTGCTCATCCTTGTGCTCATATCATGCTCAACTTTCTTCCTCTTCTTTGGTGCTTCTTGTTAATGTTTGCCATTTTTTCCTCACAGGTTTTATTTCCTCTGTGAATTTACCCTGTTTTGTTATTTTGCTCTCTGCTTCCACTATTTCCCAACGCCTTGGGTTCTCTCTCTCAAAACCCGTCTCTGAAGATAACAAGTCTGTGCTTCTGCTGCATCTGGCAGGATTAATATTTTTTTTTAAGGTCTTGGCCCCACGCACAGCAGCCTGTTAACCTCACCTTGTCTTATTTCCTCCCCTGTCTTGCTCAGAAAGCATTTTTTTACAGGAAATCCTAAGTCCCCCCAGTTTCCTTTCCATGAGACTCATGTGAGCTGCATGGATGGCTGTACTCAATGTGTACGTACGCCTTGTGCTTTGCCTGTGTGATGGTTTGACTCTGGCTAAATGCCAGGTATCCACCAAGTCGTTCTATCGCTTTCCCCCCCCCCCCTTTCCCCTTGTTTTCTCAACAGGGTAAAGAGGGGAAAGAAGATAAACTAACCCTTGTGGTTGAAACAAAAGCAGTTTTAATATAAGCAAAGCGAAGCAAAGGTCTGCATGCAGAAGCAAAAGCAAACAGATTTATTCTCTCCTTCTCATGGACAGGCGATGTGGGGCCTTCTCAGGAGCAGGGCTCCCATAGGGTGCCCCCACCCCCTTCCTCCTTTCTCCCAGCTTTATCCTGAGCAGACGTCACATGGTCTGGAATATCCCTTTGGCCAGTTCGGGGCAGCTGTCCTGGCTGTGTCCCCTCCCAAGACCTTGCCTACCCCATCCCACTGAGGGGGGAAATGTCAGAAAGAGCCTCGGTGCTGTGTAAGCACTGCTCAGCAGCAGCCACAGCACCAGGGTGCCACCAACACCCTGCCAGCTCCCAGCATCAAACACAGCACCGTGAGGGCTGCTACAGGGGAAAAACAATTCCAGTTCAGCCAGACCCAGTACAGCCTGTCTGTGACGGGCTTGTCTCTCCCCTCAGGGCTCTGCTGCCCGTGGGCTGGCTTGCAGGGATGAATGCTGGTAGTCACAGCGGTGAACACTCCCTGCTGCTGAGCCCGCAGCCTGCCTGGGTACCCGGTTCAGTCATGATGCTGTTCCAGCAGAGACATATTGTATTTCAGTGTGAACTGGCAGCCTCTCCCAATCCTGCAAATGTGGGTAATTGCTGTAAGCCAGTGTTTTTCTTCCTGTGTGCCACAGGTCGACTTTCTAGAGGCAGACCCTTCTCTTTGGCCTCAGTGTGTGTGTGCTGTGGCATGCCCAAGCCCACCCGAGGAGCACCCACTCCTTTCCTCACCTCTAGTCTCCATCCACTGTGCTGGGGCTCACTTGGCCTTTAGGAAAACTTTCTGGAATACTAAAAAGCAGAAGATATTTTAAAAAATTAATTCCACTGCCTCATCTTCACATATTTTTCCAAATAAATATGATTGTAGTGCATGCCGTTGACAGTCTAAAAATACCAACTCTGTCTGAAAAAACACCTGTCCTACTGTTGCAACCTTCCTGCCTGTTATCTTGTTATCTGGTAAGTGCTAACCAGTTATGTCTGATCAATACCTGCCTGGGAGGACTCCAAGAAACCCTCAGCTGATTCAGGCACTGCCATTGCATCAGCAAAGGGGTGTCAGCCTGGCTGAGTGCTAAGTGATGCCCTGCACTGCAGTGGACAGTGCTGCAGGGCTGGTGGAAGGCTCATCCTTCAGATGTAAGATAAAATCCTAAAATTCTGACTGCTTTGGATCATTAAAATCCCCACAACAGCTTTTTGGTTTTTTGGAAGAGAGAAGGTGATAACACCAGGCTCTTGACTTGTTTCCAGCTGCAGTAATTGGCTTCTTGGGGTTGAATAGAATATAGTGGAAAGCTCAGAGAACTCTTTCCGGGTTTCTAACACCACTGTAAAGCCCATCAGATGCAAACTGCCTGCCAGCTGCCGTGGGTCATGCCCGAGGTCAGGTCTAGCAAGGACCTTCCTACAGCAGCAGGGATGAGAAATAACAGAAGAGTTCCAATCCTCTCTTGGTGGCCCTGTGACATTCGCTGTGCCAGCACAGAGCTCCATCTCAGCAGTGCACATGGCCTGGTGCAGTGTGACCTCGGTCCCCAGGGAGCAATGCAGGCTCTCACGGGGCATGCTGCCTTCTGCTCTCTTGACACAGCATAATCTGTTTGCCAGCCTTGTCAGTCATGCTGGTATCCGGAGGCTCATTTAGCTGAAAGGGTTCAGAACAACTTTAGGATTTAAATTTCTTTTATTCACCAATCTCCCTTAATCTTAGGGATTGAGAACAATAATTCCCTCGATGCTGACTTTCATCAGACCGAGACTCATTCAATTATCTTTCACGTCTGTTGATCTGATACTACAGTACTTGAGAAGTTGGCTTTTCCTTTGAGTCTGTGGCTTTAAATGAGTGGAGTTGTCCTAACAGTCCTGATACTGACTTATGCCTTTCATTAACTTTTACTACAGACTTGATGCATGTGAATTTTATAACTATTTTCCCTCTGTTTTTCATTCATCAGTTGCTAAACTGATAGAAAATTACTATTTCATTTAAAATTCTTTTTTACATCTGGATTTAAATTCTCATTCTTTCCCATCTTTTATCACATAGTTCTGCTTTCTGCTTTCCATAATCTCAGAAAAATAATGAAAATTCTCCTCAAAAGCACATAGGTCCTGCTATTATAAACCAGTCTCTCTGATGGTTTGTACTTAGTCTCGTCAGAGAAGCTGTACAGCAATAAATTCATGAGCACTGACGCTAATGCAAATCTGTGTTCCTGTAGGTGGATGTAATTCCTTCAGCTTCTTTGCACCATCAGCACTCAAACTTAGTCTTTCTAGCAGCAAAATTGTCCCAGACCTTCTAGTCCACTGTGATGAGCTATTTATCCTCGTGCCCAGTCTGACACATAGCAATGTAAAAAGCTGTGTTGACTCAGACAAGAGCTAACCACAGCAATAGCTGATGCTGTGTTGTACTTGAGCCTGGCCCCTTTTAGAAGTCCATAATGAGGCAGCCCTGCATTAGTGATAATAGATGATATATCCCACCTATTTCCTTTAATATTTGTCAGTTTATCAGTTGTCCATGAATTTTTGTGCTCCCATGTTTTAAATCATGGCAAAGGAACAATGCTTTCTTTCTCTCTTGATGGTGTCCATCATTTTGTTGGCTGTTTAGGCTGCCTCTTCATATTGAGCTGATGATTTGGAGTCCCAAATGATATTTGTGATGGCCTTATGATCTTTCTCCTGAGTTTCAACTGCCAGTTCCAGGTTCAGCACCACAGCAGCACCAGTGGGCAAGTTTCCAGAGACCCCATGCCTTTTCTGATGGTAAAACCTTGGAAAGGGTTTGCAAGGTAGCACACCTGAAAATGCAAAACCCGCATTGGGGCCACAGTGTATAATGCATTATTTTCTTAAGAAAAATCCCAACATTTTATCTTGTTTCACCCTAAAAAAGAGGCCAGAGGGCAGAGCTGCCTGGCTAAGTGAATCTACATGTGTGCTGTTCCTGGTGAGAGCTCAGTGACTGCAAGGGACCTGAGCTCTCTGTCATTAGAACCGTTTTCTCTGCTTGCATATTTCCTGACTGAATTAAAAAAAAGCTGTGCACAAAGAATCTGGAAAACTCTGACACTGCAAGTATATCATTGGTCTTGGGTTTTCTGATTTCATCTGTTCTGCTTATCAGATTTTTAAAACCTTCTGCCAAGGCTCTTCCATTCCTCTATGCTGACTCTGTACAGCACCAAGGCTGCTCCATTATTTCTAGTAATCACTGCTTTCTGTAATCAGTCACTTTTGTGAGCGTGACTACATATCTGTGTCTACACTCACAGACACGTAATATGTTCTACCAACCAGACAATTTCCTGGAAGTTAAAAGAAGGGGAGGAGCTGGCGAAGTGAACTCTGATGTTAAAGAAATAGAATAAATGGCTTTATGCCTGAAAGTTACAATTTTCAGCATCATTTACGCTGAACAGCAACCCCAAAGAAAGGCAAGTATAAAAAATGAGATGCAGTGATGACCTTTATCAGCTGTGGTGACAACTATAAATCAGGCTGCAAATTCTCATCAGCTCGCTGGACAGAATTCATTACAGACAGAGATTGCTGCATTGCTTTTTGTCTTTGATTGAGGTATGTCCCGTTTAAATAAATGCTCTTGCACTGGAACAAATCACACATTTCAAAACAGAAGTCCAGAATATTGTCATTGATTCTTTTGAGGACTAAGATAATACGACTTACAGACCATCTAAACCTCACAGTGTTTTGCTTGGAATATAATGCAGATCAATTTGTTCTTCTCTTAAGCAGACCAATTTTCTGTTCATTAATTCAGATGCTGTGTTGATGGCTTGTATTGAATATAATAGCAAGATTTACAGCCCTAACATACCAGCACTGCTTCATTTATTCTTCCTTATTCATACCAGAAGTACATGCAGCAGATTAGCACCTGATTTCAAACTTGTTACACTTTAACAAATAATGGGAAAGTCTTTCATTTTCTACTTCCAACTATGGAGCAACTTTTACATAATCATCTTGAAGTTTCACAGTTTATTAAAATGTTATGTTGTTTTGGAGTGTAGGGAGCAATAAAAGTTTAGAGCAATATCGTTATGGGCTGTAATGTAACTTCCATCAGTTCATGTAATGCTCAAGAAACAGCTACCAAATATTAACAGCCCCACAGACTCATTAGATTAATAAGCTACTTTACCTGTGTACTGAACTTTGAGCTGAGTTTCATTGCTAGTTTTTTTTTCTGTAATTAGGAAATACCCTGAGAGTCTTACAATTATCCAAATGCTTTGCTGGCCATATTTAAAATGTGATTTTTCTGTCTAGAACTTAGTATGTATGTAATTGGAAAACATTCTGTGTTACTGACATAAGGTGATTATTAAAGCAGTAATCTTTTTCAAAATGTCTGATAATTAGGTAATATTCTGTCTCTCAGTTTAGTTATTCCTGTTCTGGAATACCTGAAAGTAAAAATTTGGACTGTGTGCTTTCCTAATACAACAAATGATGCTTCAGCGTTAATGGCCTAAGGATATAAAGGCGAGGAAGCATTAGTACCTTTTGTTGTATCATTTCCTAAATTGTTCACATGAAAGCATTTCTCAAGGATCTGGACACAGAAGCTGGAGGTTAAAATTATAAATCAGTCAGTCATGAATCAGACCTCAGAGATCATCTCTTCTGTTGTCTGGCCCAGGACAAGAGTAAATGCTCAGGGAGGATTTTAAAACGCAGGTGAATTTCTCAAGATGATAACTCAGGATATTCTAGTCCCTGACAATTGCAGATTCAAGGGCTTTCTGAAAAGAATTTCCCCTCAAGACCCATAATCTTTGATGGATTTTTCTTAAATTTTTCTAATTCTTGTTTGGACCCACATGCCGTCTGGGCATCTGCTCTACTCTGGGACTGTGACTTCCACAGCTTGTTTACTTTCTGTGTGTACCTGTCACTGGCTGGTGTCATTTAGTGCCTCCCAATATTTATCTTGGAAAAGACAAGGAATGAGTATTCATTATTTATCTTCTTCATGCTGCTTATGACTTTTTTGACTTCTGTCCTAGTTCTGTTCAATCAGTTCTTTCCCAGGTTTAAAAATCTTAGTTTTTTCAGTCATAAATTGTATGAAGCAATATTTTAAAGGCCTGAATATAATCAGACATGCTTATGAAAATGCCATACCCTTGGACAACACTCCAGAAGTAATGACAAAAATTTTAGTAATGACAAAATTTTAATACTGTTAAATCCAAACAGGAACTTCCTTCATTACTCTGGTCTCAAATGCAAGTCTTAATCTACTTCAGATCCTGCATTTTTTATTCAGGATCAAAGGTGTTGATAAAATTTATTCCATAATTTAAAGAAAGAGATGCTTTGAGAGCTTTGCCTATGAGTCTGAAGGGCTGCTGCTGTGATTTGCACACTGAGAATCTTAACTCAGAAATCTTGTTGTTTGGCAAGGATAATTTGTATTGCAGAAACAGTTTTGCCTCACAGAATCTTAGAAATTACCTCTTTTTCCTATGCTTACATATAAAACTGTAACATGTAGGAGATTATTTTTTTTATTGATAGTAATAGGTAGAGTGTAGAAACTTTTCATCTGCACTTTCAGAGCATTTTACACAGATGGTTAATGACTGCGGTGAGGATTGTCATCATCAGTTTAGAAATAAAAGATGCCTAAAACACGGATAAGGAAGAGTATACTAGGTCTGTACACCAAAGTTTTGAAAGAAGTGGGTCTATGGACCCTGTGTTGTCCCAGTTACCCAGAGCCCGGCAGTGCGCATCTTTCTGTGGTTACAATGAGTTGAGTTTGTGTTTGTATGAATCCTGCAGGATATAAATTCACCTTTGACTTATCCCAGGACAACCCATGCGTAATGTTTAACCATTCATATGTCCCTAACATTTGTGGGATGCACCATGATAACCACACTGGGGTAGTCATAGTAAAGGTAGGCAGTGAGGAATTGTTTCCCTAATGGAAACTGGAGGCAGAAGCTCAGTAGGATCCATCAGTTCCCAATCTTAGTTTAGCCAGGTTGCAAAAAAAACCATTAACCCTACTCCTGTGTCAAGAAAAGCTGCTGAATCTTTTAATGGCAGTGTGCTTGAGATGTATGTTTCATGTTTTATCTGTGGGGCAGTGCACGTAAGCACTTGAACTTCAGTTTATGACATCTGACAGGATGACAACCCTTTATTGTTGTAATGTTTTTCATCCTGAACCTTTGACCTGCCACCCAACCCTCATTTGGAGTTTCTTTCATATGTCTACCCCAGCCTTTCTGTCGAGTAGGTTTTGAGCTTTGAGAGCTGGGGACTATCACCTGCCTGTACAACAGCTACCAGAGGGGATTCTTGTCCTTGTCCAGACGTCCTGAGTGCTGGAGTAGTCCCAAAGTGCAGTAGGGACAAGCTGATTAGTCTTGTCCCATGTGAAAACGGCAATTTCTTTGCATGCGTATCATTCTGGTAAAAGTTTGCATGGCAGAGTTGTAAGATCTGCACAGTAATAGATTCCAGAATCTGCTTTGTTAGAGGGTGATTTGCCTTTAACTTTCAGAGACCTTCTAAGCACCTGGCTTATTAACCTCCTACAGACACAGAGGGTCATGGAAACCTTTAAACATAAGGAATGTTTTTCAACCTGTTTTTTTTCTACACTAACAATATAGCAAGTTGTGTATGTACATTCAAAACAGGTCATCCTCTTGCATTCAGCTCTGGGAAAGTGTAGCAGAATAAACACATGAAAAACATAAAACATGTTGTTTAATGACTGTCCTGGAAGCCACTTCAACATCACAGCAATGTGTGTTAAAAAAAAAAAAAAAAAAATCTCTGTTCTTTAGGGGAAGTTCCCAGCAGTACTTTTGGTTCAAATCGATAATTAGGTTCTACGCAAACAGACAATTTCAGATTTCCTTAATGTTCTTTTCTTTTTCTTCTTGCAGATAATGAATTCATTTATAGAAACCAGAATGGCACAGTGATTCTGAGGAATGTCGAAACTAACAATTCAACAATATTAATAGAAAACAAAAAAATTGTAAGTATTTCGTATAATAAGGAGCAGAATTTCACAGTTCTCTTGCACTTGGATCAGTAAAGCAGAAAATGACTTGAGTTTCAACTTCATGTATTGTCAAGGAAAAGCAATACAGCGGTAATACTATGGGCTACGCAGTGACTGATAATGTGAAATTGAACTCCAGCTTTTGTTATTATTCTGCAAGCTCAGTTTCTTTCATACTACAGAAAAGTACCATATAGATATTTGAAGCTAGTCTTGCATATCATATATAATTGAAAGATGCATAATTCTCATCTTTGTGTGCTTCATAGAAAAAACAATTGATATAATTTACTGCTTATTGGTAGCATTCTCCATGTTCCTCCATGCAAATACTTATTTTTTAATTTGTGCATTTGCTGATTTTTCTTGCCTAATGGTTGAAATGTAATTTCAGTGTTGTTAATGAATAGTGTTGATGAATGGAAGTGGAGTTGCATATGAGAGAAACCCTAAGAAATTATTAGGAAAAGAAGTAGGTGGTTATTAAAATGAATGAAAAGAAAATAAATTCACAGCTGATACAGAGTATTATTTATAATGATTAAAGTGTTTTGCAGCGTTGGTTTTTGTAGTAGATGAAGCCAGCATTGTCACAGAAGTTAGTACAATAATATCAGAGTGTTTTCAGTATTTCCTGTAAGAGGTTAATTTCTGAAGTAAAATACACTTATGTTTACTCTGACAATGAGATATGAATCACTCTGTCCTGGTAAATTGTCACTTACGCAGCACCTGTTGGTGAAAGCAAGAAATTTTTACTAACTTGAGGTGGTTTTGTGGTACTGTATCGTTGCAAAGCTACAAAAGCAGAGGATAGCCAACAGATACTTATCTTAATGATCCAAGATCTGCAGAAAACAGCTTTAGAAACCCAAAAGCTAAAAGTAAATCTACAATAAAACTATAAGACCACATTCCAGGTTGATTTTATTCTGCACTATATGACTCATGCAAAGCTCAAGTACACTATTAATTCTTTTTTAATGAGAGAAATAATTCATCACTGAATTATTATTGCAGGACCCAACCTTAAACATTACATGCTGCCATTTAACCATCAACCTTTGCTACATTAAATCATAGAATCATAGAATGGGTTGGGTTGGAAGGGACCTTAAAGACCATCTAGTCCCAAACCCCTGCCATGGGCAGGGACACCTTCCACTAGCCCAGGTTGCTCAAAGCCCCGTCCAACCTGGCCTTGAACACTGCCAGGGAGGGGGCAGCCACAGCCTCTCTGGGCAACCTGTGCCAGTGTCTCACCACCCTCACAGTGAAGAATTTCTTCCTTCTATCTAACCTAAATTACCCTTTTTCAGTTTAAAACTGTTGCCCCTCATCCTATCCCTATACTCCCTGATGAAGAGTCCCTCCCCATCTCTCCTGTAGCCCCCTTTAAGTACTGGAAGGCTGATATAAGGTCTCACTGGACCCTTCTTTCCTCCCAGCCGAACAACCTCAATTCTCTCAGCCTGTCCTTATAGAGAGGGTTGCTCCAGCCCCCTGATCATCTTCACATCACATAAGCAATTCTCTTTTACTAGAGTGTAACCCCTTTCTTTACAATTCTACTAAGGGTAAAGGTATGGGCTGGTTTCCTTTAATGCTGAATTTTGATGAAGTCAGACTGCCTCCATTTGATCTCTGTTTATTCCCATGTTTTTTTAATTTTTGCTATTTGTAAGAAAAGCACGGTGTTACAAGATAATCCTTTTTTTTTTACCATGCCATGACCTTCCTACTGCCTGTTCTACCGTTGCTCCTCTGCCTTCTCATTAAATAAATCTTAATAATATCACCTCCACATTAATCCAAAAAGTTCTGATACAAGAACCACTGTTACATTTCATCCAGGCACATTGGTTTTGTCCTCTTCCTTCCCAGCCCTGGGTCAGAAAAAACTTTTGCTGCCCTTGCATGTTTTCCTTTATCCATGTTATTAATATAACAGTAAATAAAATCTGTCTTCATGCTGACACTGTTGGCTCTCACTCTACCCTGGTGCCCCCCTAGTTGCCCAGTTGTGGTGGATGCCCCATCCCTGGAAAACATTCAAGGTCAGGCTGGACAGGGCTCTGAGCAACCTGATCTACTTGAAGATATCCCTGCTTATTGCAGAGGGGTTGGACTAGATGACCTTCAAAGGTCACTTCCAACAGAAACCATTCTGCGATCAATCCCCTCTGCCTTTGGCTGTCCCCTGGATTCCACTGCACCGCCTCCAGCCTTGCTGACCCTGGGGAGGACTCTCCCAGTGAGATGCTCTGCATTTCCCCGCAGCCCAAATTCCCCCTTCCATTTTGCTCCATGGGAATCTCTGAAGGACTTGTATCTAATTTGTTAGGTGGGAGGGTGAGATTTAAAAGGCAGTGGATGAGTGGCACATTAGTGGCACCTCTCATTGACCTTGGTGCTATGTGTGCCAGCAGTGTATTGTATGAAAACACACTGGAAAGGAGAAATGTCTGCCCTATACAAATGAAAAGTGAAGGAGGGAAAAAGGACTGAGATATTTTGGCATCTCTTTTTCTGAGTAAGACAGCGTAGCTTTTTGCAGAACGCAGGTCAGGGTGCGCCTGGAAAGATGGATCGCCACAGCATCCCACAGACTTTTGTAACTGGGGAAAATGGGATAATTTTCCTCAGTGTTGTCTTAATTGGGAGAGGTAGTGGTGTGTTTTATACTAATTTTCCTCAGCAGGTATTTACTGTTTGTTATGTGCTGCACTTTGGCCAGTGACTGCAGGGAATAAGAAGGAAATAATAAATTAACATTTATCAGAGTTTTCAACTACTTGCTGCCCACAGCTGCCCCACCAGCCACTGTGCAGTAACTTGGTAAGGAAATTTCTGATTTTTGAGGTAGCTGCCTGCTCTGAGTCACAATGCCGTTACGCTTTCTTTTATGGGATATAATATTTTTGGGTTTTGAAAAGAGATGTGATGTGTTAATTTTCAAAACACTTAGTTCAGCAATATTCTTTATCATTAGAAAGATGGTCTTAACAATTAGTTCTGGATGTCATTGGCTTGAAAACTGAAAAACAGTTATTTCAATGTTTGATTTATTTTCTAGGTCTCCTTAAAGGCTATTCGATATGAAGTATCACCTGACCGGGAATATGCACTTTTTGCCTTTAATGTTGAACCAGTAAGTAAATAGATTTGATTTCAAAATACACAGCCAGTGGCGGGATATTTTTTTTTTTGTCGCTTCTA